ATCAGTGATTTGGCACGCTGTGGCGTGTGCTGCACGCATGAACTCGTGTAAGCGGTGCATTGGATGCCGTAATCGTGCAAGGTAGGTTGAATCGGGATGCAGTCAGCATAAGTTCTGAGGGGGGGGCGACAATTGGGCGGGAAATACAGAAAATAAATGTGATAAAAGAGAGTGGAGACCAACTACTTTCTACACCATCAGTATCACTTATGACATTTCGCATACCGGGCCATCTCAGTGTATAGTGAGACATCTACCGCACCTACACAGGCTTTGAATAAAAGCGTTGGAGAGATTTCCAAAAGTTATGATCTTAAACTGGTGGCACATTCTGTTCTACCCGACATATTTATATTTTTAGCTGTCCCTTGGGTTCCTAATGGAACATAGGGCTTCAGTAGCACGTCTCGTATGCACTTTCTCCTCTGCAAACCTTTGGACCTGGTTCCATGACGACCTAGAAGCTCTCATTTCTTCCTCACATGATCTATCATATGTCACCCTCGGCACCGACGCCCAACTAGTCGCTTCCCATCGGGTCCCACTCTACGACCTGGCCTGGCACGTGATGTCCAAAGTCGGCTTACACAGTGTACGCCCAAATCCATCCCCTAAGCGACAGGTTCTCGGTTTGCTCGTTGGCAGCCAGCCAGAGTTCCCGGTTGCTTACTCTTATTATTCCGGCCATCTGATCATCAGTAGCAAGCCAGAGTAGACAGCTGCTGATGAATGTCTGTAGTTTGGTGGAAATCCCTTTAGCAACCCGCCAAGTCTCTGAACCACACAGAAGCACTGACTTGACATTGGTGTTGAAAATCCGCATCTTGTTCACGCCTTATGCTGAGTGGAGTGCAGAAAATCTCCACACTGGTCTCAGGCTAATGAACGCCTGTCTTGCTTTCCGATCCTGGCTTTGAAGTCCTCATCTGTACCACCTGCAGTTGAAACGATGCTGCCTAGATAGGTGAAGGAGGCTACTTCCTTTAAGTTTCTCCTGTTGATGGTGACTGGAGTTTGTTGTTGTCGTTGTTGGTTGGGTATCTTCATCACCTCTGTCTTCTCTATATTCACTTGAAGTCCCGTCTTCTCTGCCCTGCCTCTCCTGTCAACTTGTTAGTTTTTGCCTGTAGATCTTCGAGTTTGTGTGACATTATACATAAGTCGTCGGCGAAATCCAGGTCCTCTAGGGTCTATTCCCCGGTCCGGCCAGCGTATGCCACTCTTCTCGCTCCTCACGGTTTGTCGCGTGATCCAGTCCACCAGACCACAATCAGGAATATCATAGGTGATAGTAGACAGCCTTGTCTTACCCCTTCCTGTCTTCACTTCAAAAGCATCACTGAGCTTCCCGTTGCGGATCACTTGGCATGTGGCGTCTTCATATACCTGTTGTTGAATGAGGCTGATAAAGGTTTGTGGTACTTCGCAGTATTGAAGCAGCTTCCAACTTACTTCCCGGTCGACGCTGTCGAAGGCCTTCTCAAAGTCAATGAAGTTGAGGTAGAGTTGAGTTGACTGCCATTCTATACTCTGTTCTATGATGACGCGCAGTGTAGCGTTGCAATTTGGTCCGCACATGATTTGTACTTCCTGAAGCCTGCCTGTTCCGGTCGTAGTTTCGAATCCAGTGCATCTTTTAGTCTCTCCGGGATGATGTGGCTTGGTATTTTGCTTGGGGTGGACACGGGTGAGGCATGATTCCGCGCCAGTTCTTGCAAACACTGAGGTCTCCCTTCTTCGGGAGTTTGACAAGGTAGCCCTTCTTCTAGTCTGCAGTTACCTTCTCTTCCTCCGACACCTTCTGCAATGTCCTCCATCTGTATCATTCCATACTGCTGAAACCTTTTGTGTTTGTCTGCAATTATGGATTTGATGAGGCCAGTAAGGTGGCGTCGACTCACGTTCACTTCATAACTGGGGACTGAAGGTATTTATTTATTTACTTATTCGCCCATTATTTGAAAAGTTACAAGCGACTGAAGATTTTCTGGTCCCAATATTACATGAAGTGTGTCGTGATTCCTGGGTTTGTGAGCCGTCATCATTATTTCGTCCCCCGGCGTGCTCGTATTTTGACTGCGCTGACCGACCTGCCGAAAGGTAGGTGTAGACCTTTCAGCATCACTTTTGCGGCAATAGACGCATTTCACACGATCGAGACGCCACAGTGTTTGTCCATCAGGACATAGGCCTACCGCTTAGAATAGCGGTTGAATCCTCTAACACGGCCATTGGAGCTGTGTTGCAACAACCTCAGAATCACACTCAGAACCCGCTTGGATTTTCCCACTTAAAGCTACTCGCCTGCTAAATGCGGTACAGCACTGCTGGTTGGGAATTGCCAGCCATATACGCCTCCGTTAAACATTTTTGTCATCTCGTGGAAGGTCGTGATTTCATTATATTTACCGACCAAAAGCCTCTGAGCTGCTCCTCACACACCACTACCGATAAGTAGTCACCGCGTGAATGACCTCATCCGGACTATATTTCTGAATTCACATCGGATATCTGTCGTATTTCTGGTGTTGATAACGCCATCGCAGACGCACTGTCTTGCGTTTGCACCACTGCTTTATCTCAGGCGGTTGATTTACGGGGGATTGTTGAACTTCAGGGTTCGTGCGAGGGGATGGAAACACTTCAACACCCAACCTCTCTGAAGACACAGAGTGTACCGCTCGTGAATAGTGAACAGGCAATCCTACGCAACATCTCCGCATGCACACCTAGGCTTGTTACTCTTCTACCTCTGTGTAAGGACGTTTTTGGTCCTCTGAGAGGTCTTTCGGACCCTGGCACTGACGGACTGGTATCTGCTAGGCCTGTGTGACCTGAACATGGTCATGCATTCAATGCCAACGTTCCAGGACGCACCGTCCTGACATTCCACCACCTGGAACTGTTGCCAAACAGGATTCACGGTTCGCCCATGTCCATTCAGACCTTGTTGGCCCACTTCCACCATCTGATGGCCATCGCTACCTACTGATTTGTGTCGATAGGTTCACCCGCTGGCCGAAAGCTATTCTATCGTCTGACATTGCTGCCAAAACAATTGGTAGAGTTCTTGTAGAGAGATGGGTTTCCCAGTTTGGGTGCCATTCCACTGTGACAGCCGACTGAGGCCAACAGTTTGAACCCATTACCTTCCAGAAGCCGATGAATCTGTTGGGGTGCAAACGCATTCTCACCAATGCATGTCATCCAGCTTCTAATTGTTTGGTAGAGCAGTTTCATTGACATCTTGAGAGTGCGCTAATAGCAGCCGACAATGAAAAATGAACCGAGTCTCTGCCGTCGGTTCTTCTAAGCATTCACTCAACACTTAAGACGGGTGTACAGTGTACTCCTGCTAAAGAAACTGAACCCGAATAAGTCTCCAGGAATCGATGGTATTCGCCCCACTAGCAGACCTCTTCAAATGCTCGTTTCTGGAAGGCAGTTTACCCTCTGATTGAAAAAGGGTGGCCGTCGTTACAGTTTATAAAGGTGGAAACAAACTACCCGCCTCCAACTACAGACCAATCTCCATGATCTCTTCAGTTGCGAAGGTCGTGGAGAGAGTCATAAGTGACTCACTTCATGGTCACCTACTTCAGAAATCAATCCTGAACGACCGTCAGCACGGCTTTCTACCAGGAAGGTCATGTAACACCAACTTGTTGATAGCCTGAAATAGCTGGACACTCTCTGTCGAGAAGAAAAAGCCCATACACACTGGTTTACCTGACTTTTCTAAGGTCTTTGACAGGGCAAATTATGATATCCTTTATAAGAAACTCCAGCTCATGGGTGTACACGGAAAATTATTAATCTGGCTTAGAGATTATCTGTACACCAGGGTGCAGTCAGTTAGAGTCTGCTCCTCTCTACCTGATTAGTTCCCGATGCTGAGTGGTGTGCCTCAAGGTTCCATACTGGTCCCACTACTGTTTCTTGCTTTTATCAGTGACCTACCAGGGGTTCTTAATTCACATTCACTATTATATGCCGATGATCTGAAGATCTGGAGGGAAATGCAGGAACCAACGGATATTTCGATCTTCTCCCAGGAAGACCTTACGAAAATCCTTAATTGGACTGCAGAAAACCTGCTTCCTGTCAACTCGAAGAAGTGTCGAATTATGATAAATGACAAACATAAAGGCAGTCCCAGTTCTTACTCTCTAGGTGAAACAAATACCTGTCACTCTAACATGGAACAAGATCTGGGAGTTACACTAAATGATACACCAGGAGCCTCTATTCACTGTCGCCTTGCACCCAATAGGGCTTATGGAGTCTTGGGGTTTCTCTCGCGAACCTTAGGGTGTCTAACTCCTTCTCTTTTCACCACAGTGTATGCTCTGTACATTCGTCGTCATTTGGTAAAAAATTCGCTTGTAATGACTCCATACTTGAAAAAGGACATAGTCATCCTAGAAGGGGGACAGAGAAGAACCACAAAGAAAGTGATTGGGTTACGGCACAAGTCGTACCTGGACCGCTTAGTTGCTCTTCAGCTGCACCCAGTGCAACACCGGGGGATCACGGGGGATGTGATTATGATGTACCACATCACCCACAATCCCCTCCATCCCAACAGGTCCCTTCTAAGCTTCAGTCGGAAACGTGACTTGAGGGGTCACCCGTTAAGAATGGAGCACGAGAGAGCACGCACAAAGATCCGTGCTAACTCATTTGCAGTTAGAGTCTGTAAACTGTGGAACTCCGTACCTTCAGTCGTTACAGCCCCATCCCCTGATACCTTTGAAAGGAGGCTAGACGCACACCTCGAGTCCTACAGTACCGTTGGGCTTTACTCGAGAAGCTTTTCCCAGATCAGATGCATTAATACTAACTTCAGACCAGATTAATTAATTAATCGTATCTCTATCCTTTCAGGTTTTTCAGAACCGGGAAGATAATTGTGACCATTCCAAACTCAGAACATATTCCAATAAGACAGACGTAGAACCCAAGGAACCGCAGTTCGCTAATTCTACAACACGAAGTTTGAAGTATACGGCGGGTGAATCCCAACGTGCGTTACTTCTCGGCATGGACTGTGTCGAGGAGTTTCATCAGTTAAACCTTGATCAGAGGATTTTGAAAGTAATCTCCAAATTAGTCATTTGCTAAATTCAGGCCATCGCCGATCTAAACTGGAGGAAACCCACAGATATTCAGCAGGCAGTTATACCATTAGTTTTTGCTAAGAAATGTATTATCGTCCATGCAAAGACTGGGTCTGGTAAAACTGCAGCATTCGCCATACCTATTTTGAATGATTTGTTACAGGAGAAACAAGTAATTCCCAATTTTTTGTGACAGATTAAGCTTGCTGCATATCAAGCTACTACTGTCGTGGTACTCGCTCCAACAAGGGAGTTGTGTTCACAAGTTGCCGGTAATATCAAAAGTCTTTGCAAGTATGCTGCGAAGAGCATCTTATCAGTGGACATATCTCTGTCTCATGACATTGATCAGATAAAGTAACTGAGTTTATCAAAGGGTATCATTTTAGGCCTCTCATCTTCGAAAATCCAGACATAATAATTGGAACACCAGCTCGATTGATGCAGGTCTTACGTTCAGGATTTTTGTCACTAAAGGACCTTCGATGCATTGTTGTGGATGAGGCTGACCTGATCTTCACATTTGGTTACGAAACTGAGATCCGAGAGCTGAGATCATATTTACCCCAAAATATTCAGGTGAGTCAATCTTTTTGTCCCATTTTCAGCCATATGTGTTCTGAGGTCGATTGTCTTTTTTATAACCACACTCCGTTTGTCCCCATGGTTTTTCTAGTTATATTCCAGTGGGTAGTGATAGTAAGTGGCTATTCAGAAACTTTTCATGAATGTGTATCGACACAGGTAAAATGATCTGTTCATTTGTAGAGAGTGATTTAAAGTGTTTACAGGCCACCTTTTACAAGTTTTGCCGGATTGTGAAGAAAAAGTGTAGGAAGATCTGACAGTATAAGTCAGAGCTAGATGCGTAAATAACAAATCATCAAGGAAAAAACTTGGTGGGGCTTAAACCTCTGGAAAATATGTAAACCTGTCCTGCTCATATTGTCAGTGCAAAGTCTAACATGTGCGCCTTGTTCCACGTATTTACATTCCATATCCTTGCTGAGGGGAAAAGTAATCACGGCGAGTAAAAATATGTAAAGAACTGTACTGCCACACATCCAAAGAGAATAGAAAACTACTGTATCGCAAGCTTGATTTTCCATACTCGTCTGTGCCTCGAACCATCAAATGACTTTTTAAAGCAAGGATTGCAATTTCCTACTCAAAAATCATGTAAGATACTTTGTCATTCTTGTGACCTCACCCGTTGCTACTTCACAAAAATATGTGTAAACTGGAAAGTTCAGTTAAAGGAAACTGAGTTGTTGCTAACTTAACTTCCGGACGTACGAGTACTCTGTACTATTGCGTTTACTCGGATTTAAAAGATAGTAATGGACGGAATAAAGAAAAAACCTTGCACAGAAGTGCATCGGTTCATGTTGCCACAATTCATACCAATATGCAAAAAGCACACGGATAGAAAAAGACTTATATCGGAGTAGTCAAAGGTGTATGGGAGGAGAAAGAATTTAAAAATGAAGTCTAGTCAAAACATTGAAGCTCTGGAAGACGTCAAAGAAAGAATACATCTACACCATTGTGATCGACTTTCAGTCGTGTCACCGAGGGTCTCCAAACATTGGTTCCTATCGTCTCAAAGCTGCAAACCAAGTGGTCTACACGTACACACACATCTAAAACCAGGAGTCAGACACTTCATGCACCAACGCCACTTTTTAGTCTGGTCACCCTGAGCCCTCTTTCAACCTAATCCGACTTCTGCTAGCACTGTACATCGAGGTAAGTAGTGGCTGAGCATACACAGTACATGTTCAAGCCACCCCAGTCACGGAAGGTTCACAACTTACCTGTCTTACCTAGTACCCTTCTCCTAAGCTGGAAATTGCTCATAAGATGATTCCATCACACGCAAGCGATGCTGAGAAGATACTTATGGTCAAAACCCATAGTCTTCTCTCGCGTCACTCGAATGCAAATGTTCGCTCCAGTAGTGGTCTCAAGGGATGCCCTGTCTAACAACAGGGAGTGAGTTGGCTAGGCGCGTTAACCACTTCATTCACCTGGAAAGTCGGGTCAGCCCTAGGGGGTCTGTAGCCAACGAAATCTGTGCACGGATGCAAAATGCTCAGTTGGCTTTCGCCAACTTACGGCATTTATAGTACCACCAGGATATTTGACCGCCTGTTAAGGTTTGAGTGTACTACTTTGCAGCTCACGCTGTTCCCTATGCCTGTGAAATATAACCATTGAAGGTAGAAGCCATGAGGTTTGAGGTGTTTGACCGCCGCTGCCTTCAAATCATTGGTCATGTGTCGCGGTGTCACTCGGTCAGTAATGCAGAAGTCGTGTAAAGTTTTAAGGATGTAAGGAAAGTCAACTAATGAGATTGTGAACCTTTATCGGGTCAAGTGACTGGGGCATGTTATCCACCCTTCGTCACCATGTGCATCGTCGCACAATATTAACCGAAGTATGCTTAGGCTGGAACAAGGTTGGCAGCAACCAAAGTATGATTACATAAACTCTTTGAATATCGCTCTCATCTATGTGGTAGAAAGGTAGACTAGTTGGTTGGGGTGCAGTAGCCGAAGATTCTAGGTAAAATAACTCAGAATCGGCCTAAGTGGCGCAGTTGTATCTACACCCGAGCTATAACTCACTTTGGCGAGGTGTTCGGGCTCGTGTATCATGATGACCTAAAGAACTATGCTGCTGGAACGCTTTTTCCCTCGAGGTCCTACCATACCGGAAAGGTCAGACGAAAGGCAGTTACCATAATGACATAAATTGCTATGCTATGATGGAGGTCTGCTGCTGGCTGGGGTGTGACAGCAGTAAGGTGACCAGCACTACCATGCCGATCCTACCTTTCTTATGGGAAGGAAAGAGTTAGGAAAGCACACCTCCACCCCTTCGTGGTACGCCGATGCCTGCAACAGTAATTCATAAGAAAAAAGCCAAAATCTCCAACTTGCCAAAAGGCCATGTGTGACGGCCTCAAGCAGATGTCCCTTGGACTCTGCGTTCACATACTATCTGTTCTTTGCCAGATACCTCAAGAAGAACTAGCCTTCTACGGTGTGGGTAGCTGTTAAGTGTCAACCGCCCGGACGATTCTAGTCGTATAGAAGACCCAACCTAACATAACCTATCCCCCTCAACTCTATCTCCTTTGTCTTCACCTTTTGATACTAATATTAGGCCTCTTACACCTTCCTCAATCTCTCATTCAGCGATCAAAGCCGTCAAAACTTTATTCTTAGTCACATAAAACCCCGCCATCGATTTCGTGTAGAAGCTTTCAGTGTGGCAAATTAGACAGCAAGTATCGCTCGCCAAACTCTAAAATCTTGGCAATCGATTAATGCTGTGTTCGTGAGACATGTATACAAGATCCGATTGTGGTTATTGGATTGACCTCATCTGATCATAGTTGTGAGTCTTCGAAGTTCCCCTTACTAGTATTCGGAGACCCAATGACTAGCTACCTGTTGTGGACTCACTGGTGTAGGCATAACATTGAACTATAGGGCAGAAAGTGTGCTCCTCGACTAGATACCAGTCAGCTGCCGTCTATCTGATGTTTGACTGGATGGATGTGTGAAAACTTGGAAGAGTCGTGAAACTAGGGGATGCCTATTCGTAATCTCCGACTGCAGTTCGGATGTTGCAAAGGATGAATTCTATGATATTCTGTCAACGTTGCTACAAAAGGCAAAACATTCAGATGTAATCATAATAGCAGATTACTTTAACTCTCAAATAGGAAAGATAAGCCAATTTGAAAGGCATCTTGTGGGTGTTTACGGAATTCCAAGCTAATGAATCGACAACGGTGGTCGTTTATTAAAGTTTTGCTCCGACAATCATTTGTTTCTACCCAACACTAAATTTAGGCATGAGGAGAAACACTGTCTTACATGGCGTCCGCCGAATTCAAACCAATGGTGGATGCAGATAGTTTACATTACTGTAAGCAATTGTTGGAGAGGATCGGTGGAGAATTACGGCTGTTTCTGGAGTACCAGTTTGGACTCCGATCATGCGCTAGCACGTGCTCGTGTGTCTGCGCCTTACTGCTTGCAGGAAACAGATGATAGTAAGGCCTGTCTGTTCTCGATTGGATAATGGGGTCACCAAATACATATTTAGGGGGAGTTGGCTAAGCATGTATCTGAATGTGACTGCAATGCTCATCTTGAGGAAACCTAGCGTTGTATTAAGTCTGCTGTGGAAACAGCGGTAAAGACAATTAGAAACCTGAACGTAAAGGTTAGCAAACCTCATGGATTTCCGCGACGTCATCCGGACTGATTGGTTCGAGAACACTCATTCTAGCTGGGCTTGAATACAATGAAGAGCGAAAGCAACTTGATGAACGTAACTTTAAGAACGTCTGACTTCACAGAACTTGGTCTCACTGGATTGGTTGGAGTATGCAGACGATATTGTCCCGCTAGATGAGGATGCTAACAAAATACAGGGCCTTCTGAACGTGTTGAAGAGAAATGTAAGCATGTTTGGTATGCGTTCTGCACATTTCAAACTGGCCTGCTACTACTCGCAGTTTAGTGATAGACAATGAAGTGGTGGAATGCGTCGACCACTTTACTTACTTGGGAAGTAAAATCAGCCCAAACGGGTTGGTTGCTGACCAAATTTCAGTTGGGATACAGAAAGCCGGTTTAGTATTTGCCAAATTGCGATATCTGTGGCGCCACTGGCAAGATATCCGACTATATATCAGAGGACGAGTATACTATCATGCAATTCGCTTTGTTCTATCATACAGCAGTGAGACGTGGCCGTTAAAGGTAGCAGACTCAGTGGTTATAGGGTTCTGATCACATGTGTCTTCGTAGTATTGCTCACGTTTAGTGAAGTCACTTTATGAGCAGTGTTGAGACCAGGCGAGGAGTACTTGGCAATATAGTCACGTCGATTAATGATGTTGTGAACCTTCATCTATTGAAATGGTATTGACGTGCACTGCTCACGCCGAGGCACCTCCTACCTCGGCGTGCAATGCTAGTGAAAGTTGAGTTAGGTTGGAAGATGGTTCAGGGTGGCCAGACGAAGACATGGCACCAGTCTACGAATTTCCTGACTAGTAGTCTGAGCCGTGTGGAGAGATGTAGATTACCTGACTGGGGTCTTTGAGACAAGAATAGGTGGTTGAGGACTCTTGGTGACATAGGTGGAAATCGGTCTTGGTGGCGCTTTAACGTCTTCTGAAGCTGGACTATTCGCACTAACCTTTATCTTCAAATGGCTTAATCTTTTACGCAACTTTATTATCACTCTTATTCTATCCACCACTTTTTTGTATAGTGTGGCAACTTGAACTGATGGACTTGTGACGTTCTACGTTGATTCTGTCTGTCTGTATCCACACCTTATTTTAATCGTAATAGTGAATTCAGTATTTTCTTATTCCTTTTTCCCTCTTTTGCTACTTTTACTTTTGACATATTCTTCATTGTTTTGTCTTTCATCTTATTGCTGTATTGCTTAATGTACTAACATGAGGTCTGTCAACCTGGACTGTTATGCAGTAATACCTAGTCCTACGTTGATGTTGATGATTGATGTCTTTTCATACGTACTTT